GTGTGTGCAAAGGTCCTGGGGAGGAAGACACAGCACTTCCAGCAAGGGTGAGAAGAGCTCCCGTGGCCCCATGGCAGCAAGTGCATGAGCACAAGGGTGACGCCGCCGTCACAGCTCAGCGGGGGACAGAACAGGTTCTCCTGCCTGAAAGCCCTCATTCCATGGGGCCCTGCGATGCAGCCTCACCTCGGAGGCCTCTCCCACCCAGCGTCCTCCGTGTCCTGGATTCATGGCATGGCCCTTCCCTCCCTTCTCGCCTCTTCCGGCTGCTCCCTCCTCCCCACCAGGGTCGCCCTTCTCCCCTGAGGAAGCTCAGAGGTCAGGCCTCCTTTGAGATGACTCCCTTGCCTGCAGGCGGCAGAGTCTAGGACTCTCCTGGACACTCCAGGGCTGCTGGCTTCCAGCCCTCACAGCCTCATTCCCTCCATCCTCCCCACCCGAGAGCCAGCTCCGCCCGCAGAGCAGATGGCAGCACAGACAGACAGATGCAGCAACTGGCAGCTCCATGCTTCCTGACCTTCAGGCCCAACCCAGGGGGCATCGGACCCCTCTCTGAGCCCCCACGTCCACTCCACTGGCATCCACATCTCCGCTTCCAGGTCCATCCCGATCTCACCACCTCTCAGCCTCCACCGCGCCTGGGGACCCCTTGGAGTCTGTTCTCCACGTGTCAGCACAAGGGGTCCCGGTGGAGGCCACGTCAGACCCCAATCCTCTCATGCTGGGGACATGGTGGCCCTGAGTCCTCCAGAGTCCAGGCTGAAGTACAGCCCAACGCCTGGTTCCAGCAGGGGCCCGGTGCCACCCGGCCCAGGCTGTCGGCTTTGGCCTCACAAGCTGCTGGCAGAGCAGGTGCGGCGGCCTCTCTGGGTGATGGAGGGTCATCTCTGTCCAGCCGCCTCCCTCCCTGACCATGTGTGTGAGTGTGTGTGTGTATGTGGGGGCAGACGGGGTTTCCGGTCCTGTCTGGAGGGTCAGGGGTGTCAGTTTCTCTGAGCCCCAGGTGGCAAAGGGACAGCTCCTCGTCCTCCAGCTTCAGAGGCCTGAGACACCGGGCACCCCGCCCCCACCCCTCTCCCCACCTGAGTCAGACCCCAGCCGGGCCCCCGAGGCCCAGGAGTGCTGGAGCCCAGGCCCTTCTCCCCCTCAGACACAGTCATTGATTCTGAAGCCTGTCCAGCTGCTTGAATTCTTCCAATAGCTTCTGATGACTCTGACCTTCCCATCATGAAGAGGTGCTCACACCCCATCATGCCCTGCTCCTTTAGGAAGCTGGGAAGACCTCGGAGTCCCAGCTCAGTGTCCCCAGCCCTGCACTCAGAGACAGCGTCGCCTGTGTCCACAGCTCGCAGGGACAAAGTCCTCTGCAGCCACTCTGGCAGGACGAGCTGGGGCGAGTGACCCAAGACCCTGCCCTCCTGCTGAGGGAAGGCCTGTGATGCTCCCCGAAGGCAAAGTCCCAGGCTGTGTGATCCTGGGCCAGGCCCTTCCCCTCTCTGAGCGGGGTCCAGGCAGCAGCCAGATTTGACTCCGCTGTGGTTGGCATTGCCCTTCCCCACCTCGGGCCTTGCAGTGCCCCCTATTGGTCACTGTGGGAAGGTTGGGCAGGATTGAATGAGCAAAGCAGGCAGCAGACAGAAGTAGGAAAACTGAGGTCACTCATTTCCATTGGGGTTTATTTATGCATATCTTTTGGAAAATGTCTTGGTTCTTCAATAACTGCTTTACTACTGGAGGAAGATTTCCCTGTCTGCCTGGCAACAGCACAGCCAATGAAAAACCCTGCACCTCAGCCAATGAGAAGTGCCACAGCTCAGCCAATGAGAAATGCCACAGCTCAGCCAATGAGAAACACAGCAGCTCAGCCAATGAGAAACACTGCAGCTCAGCCAATGAGAAATGCCACAGCTCAGCCAACAAGAAATGCCACAGCTCAGCCAATGAGAAATGCCACAGCTCAGCCAATGAGAAACACCACAGCTCAGCCAATGAGAAACACAGCAGCTCAGTCAATGAGAAACGCCACAGCTCAGCCAATGAGAAGCTATTTCCCCCCTGAACCACTACTCTGCCCCAGTGGACTTGGTTTAGAACAGCCCCTGCCTCTCCCCCTTTTCTCTAAAGAGGCAGCTCCCCTCCTTCGTTTTCTAGAATTGGCTATGGTGCACCATAGCATGCACAATCTGAATTTCAGTTCTCCTGGCTATTCCCAAATAAATAAACACAGGATTCTGCACACTATAGGCAGAGGTGGCCACACAACCTCAGGGAGGTGTTGGGGTGTCCCCGTCCCCCAACGGGCCCTGGGATAGGCTCCAGGGGACAGCAAGGAGAGGAGCGTCCCCATCCCCATCACTCTGCCCACCCACATTCCCACCCACCCCCTTGGTACAAATCATGTTTGTAAGTTATGGAAGAACCTGGACATTTTACAAAAACAACAACAAAAAACATACATAAAAAGAAAAAAACAAGCAAGGGGGCCAGCCTGGTGGTGTAGTGGTTAAGTTCACAATCTCTGCTTCAGCGGACTGGGGTTTGCCAGTTGGGATCCTGCTCGTCAGGCCATGCTGAGGCGGCGTCCCACACAGCAGAGCTAGAAGGACCTACAACTGGAATATATAGCTAGGTACTAGGGGCTTCGGGGAGAAGAAGAAGAAAAAAAGGAAGATTGGCAACAGATGTGAGCTCAGCTGCCAATCTTAAAAAAAAAAAAAAAGCCTGGCTGCTGCCTGGACCCTGCTCAGTGAGGGGAAGGGCCTGGCCCAGGATCACACAGCCTGGGACTTCCGCCTGCTGGAGACATCACAGGCCTTCCCTCAGCAGGAGGGCAGAGTCTTGGGTCACTCACCCCAGCTCATCCTGCCAGAGTGGCTGCAGAGGACTTTGTCCCTGTGAGCTGTGGACACAGGTGACGCTGTCTCTGAGTGCAGGGCTGGGGACACTGAGCTGGGACTCCAAAGTCTTTCCAGATTTCAAAGTGACAGGACATGATGGGGTGAGGAAGCCAGCCCAGGAAAGGGTCAGGGCTGGGAGAGCTACTCACAGGGGACCCCGTCCCTCCTGAAGTGACAGGGGCGGCTTCTCTCAAACGGGGGTTGGGGTCTAGTCTGTGGGAACGTGGAGAGGGCACCACGTGGGCAAAGGTCCGCCAGAGGCCCCCAGAGCCCGGGGTGTGCAGGGGGAGGGGTGTCCTGTCCACTGGGGCCAAGAATGGCCTCCCTCAGGTGCTGCCCCACCTGAGCATCTGCCCTGGGTGCCTGCCATTCCTGCCCCAGGGATGTCCCCAAGGAATCCTGATGGGGCCAGCCGAGCAAGGGAACAGCCAGGAGTGGCCATTCCGCCTCCCTCTCTCCCTTCACCTCATCTTTATCTCTTGCTCTCTGCCCTCGCTGGAGGCCTCCTGTCTGCTCTAACACACCTCTACTCACTGCGTTTCCTGCTCTCGGGGGTTCGAACTCACCAGGTTCTTCACGGCCCCTCCAGACCCTGCAGGATGGCCCCCCATTGAGAACCGCTGGTCCTGACCAGGCCCAGCCTTGGGGAGCCCCCGGGCCTGGGGGAGCCGGGGCTGGATGTGAGCGGGACAAACAACAGAGAGGGTCGGGGGAGCTGGAGATGCAGGAAGGGGGAAGGGCTCCCCACAAAGGCCTCAAGGAGGCCACGAGCTGGGCCACTCTGGAGGGTGAGCATCCTGGGCCTGGCGCCTGGGAGGTGCTCAGGGAGCAGAGAGGATGGGCTGCGGCATGGGGACGAGCCAGCATCCTCGGGGCCCACACATGGGGACCTGGAGGGAGACTCGGGCAGTAGGGACCATGCTCTGACTGGGTCCTCACAGCCTCCCAGTGGCCGCTCTGTCTGCTGGCCCCCTGCAGGGGGATCAGGGTGGGGACTGCAGTGTTCCGTGGTGGTGGTGGCTCTGACCAGGGTCGTGCTGCAGAGAAGGACCCAAATCCAGGAAATACACAGGGGCAAATATTGAGTTGGGCAGACTGAGCAGAGGGAAGGTCCCCGGGGCACAGGGACAGTGTGTGCGGGCCTGATGGCAGAGAGAGAGGGGGAGAGAGAGAGCTCTGCTCCTGCAGCCCGCAGAGAACAGCCGGTGTGTTCAGGGAGGAGGAAGCGGTTCTATCTGGAAGCCGGGACCAGCCGCCCGGGGCCTTGTGGCTGTGCTGGGAGGACCCAGAGCTGGGAGGACAGAGACTCTGAGTTTAGTCCCTGTGTCTCTGCCTCTGGACAGTTCCTTTTTCGTCTCTGGGCCTCAGTTTCCCCTCAGTTGAATGAGTGGACGAGCCTGGCCAGAGGGGTGCTGCTGGCTTAACAACTGGTGGGCGTGTCGAATTGTCCCGTCTCCTCTTTGGGGGAAGAAGCGCTCACAGGGGCCCGCGTGAGCCCAGAGGGGGCAGCCCCAGGCCACCCTGACCCCCGCCTCCCCAGAGGACACCACCAGGGCTGAGGCTGTGAACCCTCGACCTCCCTTGGGCCCTGAGTCAGCCCCCACCCCGGTGTGCCTGCAAACGTGAGCCCCCGATCCTGTCCCCTCCTTCCTGCCCTGCTCCCTGGGCCGGGTGGGAACTGGGATCTGGTTTCTTGATCTGGGAAGCATCTCGGTGCGTCCTGTCCCACAGCCCTCCTTGTCCCTCTCTCTCCCCCACCTCTGTGCCCTCCGTGTCCTGCGTGTCTTTGTGGTCCCTTTTCCTTGGGGCTTCCTCTTTCTTGCTGGGTCATGACCTCTCAGACTGTCTCTGTCTGCCTCGGCCCTTGGGCTCCAGACCTTCAGGCCCATGGGGGACAGTCACAGGTTAGCAAACACGCTCGGGGCCTCAGGGTCATCCCTCCTGCCCAGGGGCAGAGGACCAGACAGAGACGTCAACATAGGGAGTCCTGCCAGAGGGCAGCCCCAAGCCTGCAGCAGGGGTGAGCCCGGACGGCTGCTGGGAGCAGGGGTCTGCTGGACAGAAACCACCCGGCCCAGGAACGTCCCGCCCTCCCGCCCGCAGGGGTCCTCGTGGCGCACTACCTGCAGAGCATCACGCCGTGTCTGGGTCTGGGTGGAGAGCTGGTCTACCACCGGCGGCCCGGGGAGGAGGGCACCGTCATGTCTCTAGCTGGGAAATACACATGTGAGCCGGGGCCGGGGCCCGAGTCAGGGCTGGGGCAGGACCCCTGGGTCTGAGGGAGGAGGGGAATCCCGGTTCCCAAAGGCCCACGTCCCTTGGTGACCTGCTCCCACCCCCACCCTGCTCCCTCACAGTGAACAACTGGTTGGCGACCATCACGCTGGGCCAAGCAGGCATGCATGCCACGTACTACCACAAAGCCAGTGACCAGGTGAGCTAGTCCGGCCGGGCCAAGAGGACACACGTCCCGGGGCTGGTGTCCCCGGGCGTGCAGCTAGGAAGCTGACTCTGCCGCCTGGCCCTCCAGCTGCAGGTAGGCGTGGAGTTTGAGGCCAGCACGAGGATGCAGGACACGAGTGTCTCCTTCGGGTACCAGCTGGACCTGCCCAAGGCCCACCTGCTCTTCAAAGGTACAGGCCTCAGTCCCATTGCGGACAGCGGGCGAGAGGGGACTCAGCTCTGAGTGGGGTGCGGGCCACAGGGGACAGTAGAGGGCGGCGGGCTGGGACTGTGGGGGTCCTGTGGACCCTGGGACGCTTTTTAGAAGGTGGGTGATGGGCCCCGAGCTTTGCCCCCACCTCACCCCTCCTGCCCCACCAGCAGCCCCTCCCAGAATAACAGGAGAAAATCACACAAAGCTTTATAACATGTGTACCTGGGAGAAGCCCAGGAAAATGGAGGAACTTGCCTAAATGGCTGAAGCCATCACCTTAAACACCATCTTCAGCTAAAGACAAAGGAGGACACTGGGGATAGTGATTTGGGGCCTCAAAGGGCAGGAAGGCAACTCACATGGAAATGGAAAAGCAAATGTTTGGGAAGTAGAACTGAGATAAGAACGGGCTTAACAAGGACCCTCCCAGCCTACAGATGCCCAGAGTTATCTGTGGTGACGGCCTGTCCTGGGGACAGAACTTCTATCTTAAATTCTTTTAGGCAATTAGGGGGAAGGTCAAAGTTCCTTTCAGTCCCTTGTCCTTAACCAAAGTGACACATTTTGGTGTGGCCAATTCTGATGCCCACAACCACCACCCCAGCAGCTGAGGGGGACTCTGGAACTGGCTCCAGCATTGGGAGCAGCAGGGGCCGTGTGCCCAGGGGGCTGGGGTCCCGGAAGGGGCTCCAGAGTCGAGGACATGGGGTTCTGGGCACCAGGGGCAGAGGGGCAACAGACCTCAGGGAGGTGTTGGGGTGTCCCCGTCCCCCAAGGGCCCTGGGCCCGGCCCCAGGGGGCAGCAAGGAGAGGAGCTGCCAGCCCCGGTCACTCCGCCCGCCCGCCTTCCCTCCCCCACCCCCGGTAGAAATCATGTTTATAAGTTATGGAAGAACCCAGACATTTTACAGAAAAAAAACAAAAAAACAAAAAATATACATAAAAAACCAAGCTAAGTGGGAGGCCTTGCTTTTCCAGCTGTGTCTGCCGCCTCCTGGGCCCTTTCCATCTGGCCGACGTTCCCACAGCGGCCGGTAGGGGGCGCGGCAGGGTCAGCGCAGAAGAACGACACCAACCACGGGGTTCTCAAGCCTGGCTGCTGCCTGGACCCCGCTCAGAGAGGGGAAGGGCCTGGCCCAGGATCACACAGCCTGGGACTTTGCCTTCGGGGGGCATCACAGGCCTTCCCTCAGCAGGAGGGCAGGGTCTTGGGTCACTCGCCCCAGCTAGTCCTGCCAGAGTGGCTGCAGAGGACTTTGTCCCTGCCAGCTGTGGACACAGATGACGCTGTCTCTGAATGCAGGGCTGGGGACACTGAGCTGGGACTCCGAGGTCTTCCCAGCTTCCTAAAGGAGCAGGGCATGATGGGGTGTGAGCACCTCTTCATGATGGGAAGGTCAGAGCTATCAGAAGCTTCCGGAAGAACTGAAGTACCTGGACAGGCTTCAGAATCAGTGGCTGTGTCTGAGGGGGAGAAGGGCCTGGGCTCCAGCACTCCTGGGCCTCGGGGGCCCGGCTGGGGTCTGACTCAGGTGGGGAGAGGGGTGGGGGCGGGGTGCCCTGTGTCTCAGGCCTCTGAAGCTGGAGGATGAGGAGCTGTCCCTTTGCCACCTGGGGCTCAGAGAAACCGACACCCCTGACCCTGCAGACAGGACCGGAAACCCCGTCTGCCCCACGCAAACACATACACACATGGTCAGGGAGGGAGGCGGCTGGACAGAGATGACCCTCCCCCACCAAGAGAGGCTGCTGCACCTGCTCTGCCAGCAGCTTGTGAGGCCAAAGCTGACAGCCTGGGCCAGGCTGGCACCGGGACCCCTTTTGGGACCAGGCATTCGGCCTCCCCTGACCCCGTGGCTCCGAGGTTCCCACACTCTGGAGGGACCAGGACAAATCCCACCTCCTCCGGTTGTCCCCATGTGGCTTCACAGCCCACCTCAACTGTGAACCTCGGCTTTGTCGTCTTGAAAGAGCTAGGATTCATGTCACAGGGCTGCTGGGAAGGTGACAGTGTTTGAGTGCTCTGTGTGGCCCGTCAGAGCAGTCAGCTCTAATATGGGACCCACCGTGGGCCGGAGACTGTCCCCAGTACTTCCGGGGTACGGTAGTAGCTTGTTGCATCACCGAACAACGGTGTCTGTACAGCTAGTTCCCAGTTTTGTGGACCAAGAAACTGGATGTTCAGAGAGCCTGGGTTATTCGCCCAAGGTCACACAGCTGGCAGCCCAGATTCAGGCCTGGACCGTGTGGTTCCAGAATCTACTGTCCTGACTGGGCAACAGGAATGCTCAGAGCCCTGAGGAGGATACAGTCTGTGGGGCTCCCGGAATCCACAAGCTGGTGTTAGGGAGAAGTGCTGGCTTTTCATTTCACAAGTGGCAAAAGGGGCTCAGAGAGGCCCTTCCTTGTGCCCAAGGTCACAGCCAAAGCAGGAGCTGGGATCAAAGCCCAGCTTGCACTTCTGAAGCCCACGCTTTTGGCAGATGCTTTTCGCTGTCCCTGCCCCTCCTGTCTCGTCTCTGTCTGGGCCTCCAGCCCCCTGCTCTCTGACACCCCAGGAATCCAAGCCCCCAGCCCTCTCCTTCCTCTGACCCAGGATTTCGGGCCCCCCGGTCCCCTTCCCAAATGTTATTCATGCACAGGAAAAGAGCAGGGCAGGGGAAATAGGGGCTCTGGGCAGCTGGCCGCTCCTTGCCTCCCATGCCCAGCCCCCCAGAATAGAGCAGGGCGCCTGAGTTACTGGGTGAGATGTCACCTCCTTTGACTGGTGGCGGGGTGGGGGTGGGGGTCTCGGGGCCTCCGAGCCCCACCTCCTTCCCCGGCCCTGCTGAGTTAAAGGGGGAACAGCCCACCTCGTGACTGGGGGCTGGCCCGGCTGGGCCTAGCTCTGCAGGAGTAGGCGGGGCAGGGGGGAGCCCTTTAAGAGGACAGCCTGGATCCCTGAGGTCTATTCAGCTCCAGCGGACGCGAAGGACGCGCTTTCCCAGGACCGGTGAGAAGCAGAGCTGGGGGCACAGAGACCAGCTTAGGGCTTCTGCGGGGGACGGGCTTGGGGGAAGAGGAGGTGACCGTCCTGTGGGTCGGGACAGAAGCGGGAGGGACTGGACCTACGGGAGGGGTGGGTCCCCGGGGCATCCTGCTTTAGCTGGAAGGTGGGGTGGGGGAGCAGCTGGACCTGTAGGAAGACCCAGATGAGCCATAGCAAGAGCCCACGAATTGTCACTGTCGTTTCCTGAGCCCCTGCTGGGTGCCCCCATCGGCCTCAGATCTCCATTAATTGGAGGCGCAGGGGTGGCGGCGGGGCAGCTGGAGCATCAACTGAAGGCAAACTTTTAAATGAGGATTAAATGAGCTAATATGGGGAAGATGGCACTTAGATGGAAGTTGGAGCTTCGAATGGGAAGGTGGGAGGTGGAATGCACGGCTGGAATTTAGGAAGCCCAGCTGGGGCTCACCGGGCAGCTCGGAGCAGGATGAATGGAATTTGAACCCTGGGAGAGGGGGATGGAATTTGGGCGGCCGGTGGGCGAGCCAGGGATGGGGAGATAGGAGAAGACTGGAGGGAGGTAAATAGACAAGGGAGGGGCCTCGGTAAATGTTTGTGATTGGATTAAGGTGATGCCCATCTGGGGCGAGGGCCGCGCTTTGAAGGCCGGGACCGGGTGGGGCGGGGCTCCGGGTGGGAAGAGTCCTGGCTGGCTGTTGATTGACAGGGTCTCCCTCCCCCAGATTGACCAATCGCAGGCGGAAAAATGAAGGCTCTGTGGGCGGCGTTGGTGGTCACGCTCCTGGCAGGTATGGGGAAGGGGGGTACTCAAGTTCCCTGCCCCTCCCCCCTCCCCTGGCCTCCCTGCCCCTCTTCCGTCCCTGGGGCCCCTCTTCTGCTGGTTTGTCTCCCCCTTGGGGCAGACCCAGGTCTGAGGCCTCTCCTGACGTTCACAGACTCTGAGCCGCTGTTTTCCTCTCTTGGGGCCTCAGTTTCCCCATCCTTCAAATGGGAGTCATCACGGTTTCTAATGCATTGTTGTCAGGCAGGGAGTGAGCCCTAGGGTCCGCTGGGGTGATTTTTATGCCCCGTCACCCAAGCACGGCCCTACATGGAGCACAGACAGACTCAATAAATGCATATCAAGCGATTAAACAGGCTAGGGGTCCCTCCGCCCGCTCCCTGCCCACCGGGGCGCTGAAGAAGCGCACAAGCATTAGTGGAGAGCCTACTGTGTGCCAGGCACTGTCCGCCTGCAGCGGGCAGAGAGCCCCGATCACTGGGAACTTGCTCCCCGCAGGATGCCAGGCCGACGTGGAGCCGGACGCCGAGGTGCAGCTGGGGAACGAGTGGGCCGGGGGCCAGGCCAGCCAGCCCTGGGAGCAGGCCCTCAGCCGCTTCTGGGATTACCTGCGCTGGGTGCAGACGCTGTCTGACCAGGTGCAGGAGGAGCTGCTGAGCCCCCAGGTCACCCAGGAACTGACGTGAGTGCCCCCCCCCCCCGCCCGCCCCGCCCCTGACCCTCCTGCTAGGCAATTCCTTCTGGACTCTCAGCCTCCACTGGTCTGGGTTTCTTTCTGTCCCTGTCACCAACTCTTAGGGGCCCTCTCTTCATTTCTTGCTTCCTTTCCCAAGTTCGAGCTCCTGTCCTTGCCTTTCTCTTTTTCTACGCTCTTCTCGTCTCTGGCGTCTTCCTCTCTGTCTCCCTCCCTCATGGACCTCAGTCTGCCTCACCCCTCTCATCTCAGCTTCTGTCCGTCTCTCTCCTTCTCTTGGTCTCTCCTCCCCTCCCTTCTGTCCCTCTTTGGGGTCTCTCTGTCCCCAGCCTGCCCTCCCCGTCTTTCTCCCTCTCTCCGCGCACACGCTCCCACCTCTCGGCCCCCAGGGTGCTGATGGAGGACACCATGAAGGAGGTTAAGGCCTACAAGGCGGAGCTGGAGGAGCAGCTGGGCCCCATGGCCCAGGACACTCAGGCCCGGCTATCCAAGGAG